AACAAACTTCAGTATCTCGAGTGTTCCTATTAAGCTTTGGGCAACCTGCCATCATCCCAGCCCCCGTGCTTCGCTTGTGTGGCATGGTAGCTAGACATCGAATGGGCGCCAAGTTTGAACGATGTTTTTTCTGCGTTGAACTGATTGACCGTATGGATACCTGTGGATACAATACTTCATCTGCAACGCTATCGCATAGGACTTACAGGAGTGCTGCACAAACTCTCATCATCGGCATCGGTGGTGCCGGCGGTGCCCAAGAGATGCGATCTTATATCACAGTCTCCGCATAAACGGTCAGCTGGTTCGGGTAGATTTTACTCGCCGAAATGGTCATACCGGTATAACGGTGTTCAGCGTACATAAACCAAAAACATAATGTTATCCAGCTAAAGCACGTCTACGGTTTCTAGCTACCATTCCTCCCGAAATAAGCAGATGGATTAAGATACTGCCAGGTTACCCTAGTCTAGCAGGAGCAGTAGAGATGCAGAAGTCGTGCTCGAACCATGGATCCGCAGGTCATCAAGTTAGAGCCTTAACCACTGAGCGATCTCGAACTCACACATGTCGCCACAAACAGCCAGGAAGATACTAGGATAAATGCAGTGAGCCGACTAACGGGCATTTATAGATCTCAGGATAAATATTGATAAGGGAAAACCACGTGGTCTAGATTACCAATCGAGCCAACAAGGATTGTCAAGTCCGAGGAACTTCTCAGCTTTGGAATATACAGCTATTTTACGGAGTAATAGTGGAAGTAATATGAATTGGTAAATAAAAAACAGAGGATCTTTGACCACCACGACTGAACAAACAGATGTCAAAAAGGGGATGATGCTGATTTGACCTATGGGTATACCAACCTGTCAGTTATGGTCACGATACGCCTCTTTAAAGTTCTGTGTGTTCAAATCGTAAGACAATGAAAATAGAAGCTCTACCATACAGACGAACGCAATCAGATGATAAGATAGTTAACCGTTGTTGTGTAAGGTGAATGACAGGATATTTTTTGCGGCACGGTCTCATTAGTTTGGTTGGAATCGGATGCAGAAACTAAGATTCCAGAAAGGAAACCCCGAAAATGTTATTTACTCAACCAAAGTATTGACGAGTACCTACACCGAAAATTTGACCCAAGTGGTAAAAAAAATGCCAGTATAGCCGGAAATCGGAGACCACGTCACGATCAGTGGCATCAAAGTCAACGTCATTGTCTACATTAACGGCTCACTGCTGCATAAGCGCAAAGTTAATCCAATTAGACGTAAAGCCTCGGAAAGAAAAAAGAAAATCTTGGGTGAGTAATGAACATTCTGGGGCTGCCTATACCTCCAAGATCTCAATCAGACAAGCTGGGAAGAAAACGACTGCACTAAAGCCACTAACATTCATTAGTTGCCATTCCTTGCAACGTCTTCAGCGAAGAATGGTGTGTCACGGAGAAGACATGCTGAAAGGTGTACCGCACCGGCAATATCTATTTCCTTCGTCAACCCCCTCTGCCAAATCACACATTGTCTACCTCGCAGTTTACACAATTCTGAAGAGGGCACAAAGATCAGCACTCTCACATGCCTCGAAGTATGTGAATATAGGGACCGGACTGTGTTCACAAACCTCCGGAGCATGCCCCGTTGGGCGATCATGGTGACGAGCACTGACCAGTGGACGAAATCGAATGAAACCCTGGATTTAAGGAGCACCAGGATTGTGGGTTGATTGTATATATGGCGTTTCTCCAGTACCCGATAGTGTGATGTTACCGACGCAGCCTCTGCCCAGCCGAAATTCCGCTTGATGCTCAGTGGCTTCGCGCGCCATCATAAGAAAGCGAAGAATCAGAACCAGAAGCCTTGCTACAAGACTAGCCAACCTGACTCCCTTCTGGTTACTATATTCACTGCGTGTACCCTTTTTAAAGATGGGCACTATTGTTGACACTCCAGTTTTCTGAAACGGTCTCTTCCTCTCAGATAGACGCGAACAGGCTAGACAGGAACTGGCTGGGGAATTCACCACCGTCCCTCAACGGAGCAGGTAAAAGGCCAACAAAACTACGACAACAATGGCTCTTGAGTACAGGTATCCACTAGGATACTTCTTAGACTGAAGGTGGCTCCGTATTTACAACTTTCTGCTGAAGGCCGGCAATCGGATTGTAGGTAGAAGTCCGTTTCAATTGTTCCCAGTACTGTGCTAAACGGTTCAGATGTTCTCCTTTGGTAGATGTCAAAGAGCCATTTCACTCTCTGAATGCTTCGCCAACAAGTTTTACGAGTACGTCAAAAGAATCAAGCAGAACAACATGCGGACGTTTCCAGCATTATTTGCATCTTCCATTTCCTTACTTTCGGATGCTTCCGGTGTGGAGGGACTCGAAGTTTCACTTCGCAGCGGATGGTGCGTCAGGATGGGTTATGGTCGCAACCAGGAGAACTATGCCGCTATACCTCCAGCAAAGCCGCGGTCGTACTAGAGACCCAACGATTGGATGAGGTTGGCTGGGTTGTACCGCAGATCGAAGTTGTGGCATTGCGTGACACTTTGGGTAACTGGCTACAATGACCGACACCAGAACATCCGGCAGAGGAGCCAGTTCTGATAGATTCGTCTAATTTCAGGGTCTATGAGCTTCTCAATGAGCGTTTTGGTATAATTAAAAGTAGCACCGGACAAGTGTATGGAAGGAGCACACACAGATATTCCAGAGCAAGCGGAAAGCACTAACCAGCCATCACAAACAGTAAGTGATGCAATGTGGTATACTCAGAATCTGGACTCAGCGCTTGGTGGGCACCACATTATCAAACGAGTTTGGCTGTTCTGGAAATTAGGAGTGAAAAGAGACAGTCAGTGATTGGCACATATCGGCAGCAAGCGTTCTCCTTTGTCCCTGAGTCTCGTGTCCAAGTCGAGTGGGCTTCAGCAGCCTACCTACCCAAGCGTTCAAGTCACAAGCAACAATAACGGGTCAGCTGTTAGCACATTGTAAAAGAACACCTAGAGCATCACAGAAACTATCCTTGGTAGATTGAGAGTTACAGTCCATCGGGGCACAAGCACAGACAATAAACAGGGTGAGATGGACATCACTTTCCATAAGTCCCTTAACAGGGGTTGCCAAATGAACCACGCCGATGACCAACAGAGGGTAGCCGATCTATTAGAGACGCTTCCGCCCGATGGCTCAACACAGTACCTACTCCGGCATATCCAACTGCATCAGCATCCGCGTTACCAGAGATGCACAGGAAGCAGGAAGAGAGCGAGAGGGCCTACAGCCCAATTGTGGTACTTATATCATGATTTCTTTTTTCTGACAAACAGAACGCACCAAAGCAGATAGAATCCAGCGCAAGAGCCACTTGTTGTACTATATCCAGTGCATGAACTTCGAAGACCGTGAAGTAAACCAGTTTTTTGGGAGCTTGGAAGGACGCACGGGGGTTACGCAAGGCGAACAAAGTGGTCAGTCCTAGTGCTTGGAATCGCGGTGTGGTGGGGTAGGAGAGAATAAGTCAAAGTGTAAGAAGGGAGGCGTTAGTAGTAGCACTTTCTTACTCGCCATGGTGAATGCAGCAATCAAGGTGACTCTGCTGACGACACCATGCGATGGCCGATGTGGCGTATTTTTGGCTGCGACTTTTACAACTGTATTTTTTTTATGCGGCTCACACCTAGTCAGGAGGAAGATTAGGATCCTCAAACAGAAGATGGCCGATTGGCGTATTTTTGGCTGCGACTTTTACAACTGTATTTTTTTATGCGGCTCACACCTAGTCAGGAGGAAGATTAGGATCCTCAAACAGAAAGCTCAAATGGCTGAACGCAAGGCAGCTGGTTGGCGCCGGCATACTGCTTCTAACAATACAGTAGTGCAGCTTCTCAAGGAGCAAGTAGACATACCTGTCCCAACTCTAGCCTGGACGACCAGGAAAACGTGTTCGTCAAGCCTCCATCAGCTGATCAACCTGGTCTGGAAAAACTCAGTGGGCATCAAAGTGAAAACTCCCAGGATAATTATTGGTCACAAAGTTACACAGACGATCACACCACAGCGACTTAGAGGTCATGTAACACCGAAAACGTATTTTGTGAAAATCCTTCTACGCAGCATTTTGTCAATAAACTGACAGGGTTCAGCGTCGACAGCAGAAAAGCGTTTGACAATCGGGCCTCGCTACTATACAACTATAATTTGAAAGCCTTGTTGTGAAGGAAAGAACAAAAGTAGATGGGGATGGGGCTTGGTGCTAGTTTGTCACAACCATTTCGAGGTGCCTACATCTCCACTCTGGAGAGAAACTGACGAAAACGCCATTGACCAACAGCTATATCATGCAGTGTAACCAACCATGCTCAGGGGGATCACGCGGACCACATCCCGAAAGATGAATCGCATAGACAGAACCCAGGCTTTCCGTAATCTCTTTCATACCCGCTGCTAGCTCAGAGATGAGTCACCTTTCAGCTCCCGCTGCTTTCCGGGCATGGAAGACAGCACTCTTCTCGGCAAACAATTATTCAGCATGCAGAACGCGTAAACTAGCCACCTCACCTTTTGGTGCTGGACACTTTGACTGAAGTCCCTGTCGCACAACTGAGCACTCGTTTTCTAACTGTTTCTGCGGATTCACCAGTGCCAGCCTACGTAAACTATGGTTCTAAGATAACGGTTGAGGTGTCAGCTCCGCTGCTCGCAAGGGCGTCTCACAACTATATAACAAAGCAACCCGTAGTAAAGCGTGATACACAGACCTCTTTCGATTCAGGGACAAGCCACTTTGCCATCATGGATGTCTCAAATCAGCACACACACACAAAGTCCTAGAGATTAGTGCATTGAATTCGTCTGTTACACCACAATCGAAACTTTAGAACCTTGCACAACCCTAATGGGATCCGGCAGATGGGGAATTGATTACGATTTCAGATGTGGGCATCTGACGAACACATGGCCGTTTGTTTGGATAAACTCAAGGACACTGTAACATTCGTCAAACAAATATGTATTATCAGCGCAGTTAGGAGAATAGCTCAACAGCGTTTGGTGAGTAAATCAAAGCTTGGACGATTCTGGTAGAAAGGTGGACAGGCTGTGTACATAATAAAATAACTTTATAAAACTAAGTGTCACTGGCGTTGGTACTTCCGAACAGACGTGACGTTCTTGAAGGTTGCAGTCTGAAATGAGAAAAGCGTGTAACGGTCAAACCCGGAAAATAGAAACACCAAAAAATAATAAAATATCTACATGTTAGGAGTCCCAGTGACCAATGATCCAGCGAAATCTGTAGAAATAGGGGAACACGTAGTCCCTAGAGTAGGCAATGACCACATTGTTATTGAATAAAGCAGCAACGCGAGGAAGGACGAATCCACCTCCCAGACACTTGGCTGCTTTTATCTGAAAGACACTTGTTTTCTTACATGCTTCCTACGACAAGAAGCGTCAACTGAAGGCTCACGATTATCGGGTGTAAAGAGGGATATTTACTTTAGAGGGATGGATTTGCCGTTTTTATCAAGATAGATGAAAGAACTTCGAAAATTTTAGTAGTCAAATAATAATCGTCCAGCGGTAACACCCTTTTCGGTGCCTGGCTGTCATGCCACCCAAAGGAATATGCTTAGTGTAAACCTTATTGAATTCCCGAGCGAGACAGAGCCCCTTGAATTCACGATACCATTCAAATCAAGCCAAACAAATAGTCTACACTTGTTCCGAGAGTTAGTGCAATTATCACTATTTTCTTGGGATGAAACACTCTCAAGGTGATGAGACGACTGCTCGCCCCACTTAAATCTACGAGCGGTCACCGACTAACCGACAAAAGACATTTGTTGTATCATGACGCTGGCAACAAAAGTGGGATATCTCCACTCGTTAAGATACGAAAATTTTTACGCAGGCTTCCAGTTTGAGGCTGTACTCAAATTCGTCTACCTCGTGCACCGGGAGATTGAATTCAAACCCAACTTAAAGCGAAAAGAATCTGAATCACTGAGGTATTCCGCAACAAGTAGAAGCCGAACTGTTTGCCACTCGGCACGGATAATAATAATGAAATAATGGTTTAACTGCAGTAAAATTTTGGTGCTCAGGTATTACAACTCGAAGGAAGCCAGGTGACCCAAGACAAGGGAACAACTAAAAAGCCAAGGTTCGGACCAAATCACGGACCTTCCGGTCAGTAGTTCAAAGCCTCAAAAACGGAGTTATATCGACCTCTTTTTGCACAGATGGGGGTATTGTATCAGGATATACACAAGTTAGATGAGAGATGCAATGACACCTGCATACATCTGAACCGAGGGAGTTCACTTCTTCAGTCAAACTGTCTACTGAATTCAGTTCCAGCTAGCCTGGCTTCGTCCACCGAGGATAAGTAGGACAAGGGAATAGGAACCACAGTACAATCAATTGGTTGAGGCTGAATGGTTCCGTTTGTCCGATATGACAAGGAGGGAGTTACAAGGCACTGGCGATACCTACACGGCGGGATCGCAGTTACCGCGTGACATAAGCATAGCTGTCAGAGTCACCAACCATTCGTTTGCTTTGTCCCGGAGTCCCCATCCGGCGAGACAGCAATGACCAGCGCGATTGAGTTGGATGGTGGCTTTCATTCTTCATGGCCAAGTCATAGACTGATCGCCCATAAGTTGCCTCTATCTAATAAATGGCTGAGAGTTGAGGAGGGTTCTGAAGGACAAAGCCTAAGAAAGGTCACCTATGGAGAGTGACGAGGTGATCTAACCAGCGAGTTACTTTTCCTAAGATCCATCTGGCGCACCCCCGCGTTACTGATTTTCCACCACACACGTTCGATGATTCGGAGGCACCGATGGTGACATACGGGGTCTTCGAAAACCTGCAAGCACCAACCAAGTCAATCGAGAAAACCCAGACCTGACAGCCAGGACACGTAAAGTGCAGGAGGTGCACGGTCTGACGGAACTGATCACAAGACAGGACTCCTGGACGAAAAATTTACGAGATGTCTCAAGCAGGGGCTCTTTGCTTCGGATATTTCTGCCTATCCATGGATTTCTTCATGCCACCGGATTTATCGGCATTACAATTTAGGTCATCAACCCTAGTGTTAGTGTGTGTTAAAGGTTCGTTTTCAGGCGCCTTCCTTGGTTCCAAAAGGGTGCATCAATCAGGAAGGTAATTTTATTTTGAAAGGCATGCATAACTCTGGTATGGTGAAACATATATGTGCACGATAAAGTATGGATGTGGAAGTTTAGGTGTTAGTGGCACTTGACGCAGTAGAATTACTCGTCCTTGTGAAATGACCCTAGGATCCCGCTAGATAATTATGGATCAAATGAATTCCAAACGCGAACGTAATAGAATAGAACCGTACATTTGCAAAAACTTACGGTGACCATCGTATCTCCTTCAATTTTCCGGACAATGACGGTGTCACCATCGCAGTGCTTTTGTACTTGAGTCAACTGGGTGTCAGAATCTTTGGTTACCGTTGACTGAAAGGCAAAAATAAATTGTTGAATAGTCTTACTGGAAACAACACGAAGTGATGATTAAATGCTTATGAAGCCAGAGGTCGAGGAATCCATGTGCTGACGAAATAAGATGTATGAAGAACACTTAAGTCCGTCATTACTTTAAGAAGTTATACTTTAAGAAGTTGGTGCAGCGGTGAGAGTCAACGATTTGAGGTACAGGAAGAGCTAGAAACGTCCGTGCACATTTCATTAGACTATTCGCCTGTGCACCGAAGATATCACCTTCGCTTTTCGATGTCCTATAAATAAGGCAGTACCCAAAGGCTGCAGACCAAGTATGCACTACATAGGAACACTGAAACGTATATAATGAAGGGTGAATTTTCGGAGTATCGAAGGACTGAAAAATTCGAGCTCGAGTTTTCGGACGATATGATTATTTTCGTATTAAACTCAACGGTCAACTGAAATAACTTTGGTATGTACAACTTTCAGCGGCTCGCTGATACATGACTGAATCAGGCTGCGCAACTCCCTAAATCACATGCTCAGAACTAGATGTTCATGAAGGACATCTTTACAATAATCCACGAACCATGCGGAAATCCCACATTATTGTTAAAACCCACAGCTGTGCTCATCTGAGGGTAGAGAAGTGAGGGTAAAGTAATGCAGTGGTGAAACGTTCAAACGCAGTGCACTGAAAATAAAGTAATGACGGTACATTTTCATAAAGGAAACTACTCACAAGGTTGCTGAAAACTCTTCGACGGTACACTTTTCGCAAGCACGATTGATGCGGAAATTTGATGGATCGGATATGTTAAATCCATTGAGCTGCCCATTTAGCCTTCTGCCAGACGTAATCTGACGGAGTCAAACATTTGGACTCCACTCACAAGGTGCTGAAAACTCTTCGACGGTACACTTTTCGCAAGCACGATTGATGCGGAAATTTGATGGATCGGATATGTTAAATCCATTGAGCTGCCCATTTAGCCTTCTGCCAGACGTAATCTGACGGAGTCAAACATTTGGACTCCACAGCCCATTAAAATTTGCTCGTTTAGGTGCCATTTTAAAACCCGACACCACCTTGACCGTCTTCTTCAGGAGCAATCGATACTGACTCAGTACATATGAAACGGTATTCTTCAATTCCAGTCCCACCAGTAGAGGTTTGCCACGTGCTGTACATAAGCTAGTAGCTTTCAGGTAACATGGAGTCAACGTTTGTGCAAAATGAATGCTCAGACAAGTAACCACTCTTTGAACAGACCACTAGCTGCCGCTCGTACAGACCTACTCGGGCAAACTGGCCATCAGTCGCCGGGATCAGGCGCAATTTTGTTTGCTTGAATTAAGTATGACGGAATTTGAAATGTTCTTTGGGAGTTTTGATCTTCTCTAGCATACATCCATACAACAGTCAAGCACCGTATATCCTGTTAAACTGAATTCACCTTTTAGAATAAACGAAACAAGTAACAAGGTCTCATAAAAATTCAGTCAAAATTACTTCAAAGATATAACACGAGCCAGCACAGAATAAAGCGAATGTTCAGTAAGGTAAGTCTATTGTACAGTCTGATAGAGAGGAGAAACTGAATGTTGGATTTTTTGGTTTTAGTTTGCATTAACCAGATTGAAAGCCCAGTACTGGGACTAAGTTACTGAGCCGAAACGTAAAAGTAGATCGCATGAACAAAGAACTAATCCTCGATGGTATCCCATATCAGATCTTTCCAGTCCTCGGGAGAGCCTATAAGGAGGGCTTAAAACTCCGAGCTACCAGTGACAGAAAGTCTGAAGCATCTTTACCATCAGATACAGCAAAACCAGTGTTGACAATGAGCCTTCAGTGCCGCACTACCAAGGTTACTAGACCTTAAAGTAAACGAGAGAAAGCGTGGAAGAGGGTGGGATCTGGCACCAGCCTATCGCAGGCATTCTGAGTTGCCTATACCTTCAGACGCTCATTCAATCTGGAATCTGGCAGAACAAACATCACCATCACCGATTAGTGGCCATTTCTTACGGTGTACCCAGCGAAGCGCTGGAAATCACGGGAACCCAATGGTTTAAGGCGGACTACATCAAAAGTATCTAAAATTTTCAACTATTCCACACCCTTCTGTCGACTCACTCATCATCTACCCTTATTGTAGCCTGGTACAGGAAACCCATGAGACCCTGTGAAGTGCCTTTATAACGCCACAGGTCAGAGGCACCGAATGCTCATCGGGGCTATTTGTCGAAAAAAAATAGGAAGGCATTGAGCTTACTAAGGAACAGGGTCACCCACCTATCGAAAACTACAACGGCAACACCAATCTCTCAACCACCAGGAAGCAAAAGTGAAAAAACAGTATCTTCCAACTTCGGCACCTTTTCGGTGCCTGCTCGTCAAACTCTCGACGGAAGCATGATGTCTGAGATACTGAAAGCCTGCCGAAATTTAGAAAGTAGTCGAGATGTCGGAGTTGGGTTCAAACCACAGACCTTTCAGTCAGTAGGCACTCAATCACTCAGCTGTCTTGAACAGAAATTGTGGCAGTAGAGAGTTCCAGAAAACCTGACATTAGGTCCGCGTAATAAACCAGAAGTGGAAGCAATATCCTACGTCCTATAAAGCCAAACCGTTCATACCAAGTCCATGCATGACCAAAAGCGAAAGTCCAAAAGCCACATTCTGCACACGCGCAGTTTCACACCAAGCCTTGCAATGACTTGCAGCGGCCGACTAGGTTAGCGCCAAATACTGAGAACTCGGTTTACCCACCTACGACATCCTCCAACCCAACAAGCTCCAATGACGGGGAAATAACTACACGCGTTAATATGTAACCACTGATTACTTCACTGTCACGAAAGTACCACGTTCACAGCTGTCGGGTTATCGGATTACGGGTATCATCCGCGGATGGCTGGAGATGCCTCAGTGGTTAGGGCGGGAACTTAACGACCGTAAGGTCCGTGGTCCGAACCCAACAGCTGGGCAGTGAAGTGTTACAGCTGAATGGTCAGTATCATTATTTCCACTATTACTGTTGATATCATTAACAACGGGCGTCAATGTGTTCACACCGTACAGCGAGGGCAATTTATTCGCTATCATGTACCCAATTTACATGAGTCAGATAGACAGATAACTTAGGCGAAAACGTGCTACACTATATAGAAGGGTTAGTTTATTCAACACAAAGAATAGGATGGACGACAACCAGGATTTCATCATGTAAATGTAATGCCGGATTATCCTGACACCACGAAGACCCGCTCGAAGCCTCGCCGTCTCAACGGGACTGGAGAAAGCTTAAGGCTTATTCTGAGAAGCTAGTTAGACAACATATAAAATAAAAAAACAGGAATCAAACACCTCAATGAAATATGACCCGTTAAGGATCGTGGTAATTTGTTCATACGAAATCGGGGGTGTACAAACCTTGACTTGCCGCCCATCAATCGTTGTCTCATCAAATTCCTCACCGAACGTGAACGACTGCTCAGTGGTTTTGAGGATAGTCTCCGTCTTCATTTTCAATCCATTGTCCCCAAATTTGTCGAAAGTTATGGTTGGCTTCGAAGTGGACGCTGCTTTTCGGATGAAAAAGTTGACGCCTATGGAATAAAATATGCACCAAAATCCTAATTACCGAGCTCCCTCAAGAATTCATCGAAGTTCTGTGACTCAGAGAGCTTCCAACTACCGATGAAAGCCGACATCACCAATAAGCGTGCGGGAATGAGGGATCGAAGGATCGCGCAACCTTGAAACCTGAAGTTTATCACACAGCGTTGATGCACATAAACAATATTCTGATGTAATCACATCCTTGTGAAAGTTGAAAGACCGAAACCTATTTGGCACTTGCCTTCTCAGTTCTATGATCTCTCTTATGTCCCTAGTTCGGCTTTCTCATGTTTTAGTTTTAGGCGTCTATTAGCTGCACAATTCTTTTAGCTGCAAATCCTTTGAGAGTGGAGTAGAATATTTGCGCCAAAATGTTGCATTGTGATGCGTATGTGAGCACACCACATACTATCCTAATTTACTTTCATATTTTTGCGGCTCACCAAATAGACTTGTCCGGTGGGGCAATCATACCTCCGGCGGAAATGTCTGGTTGAATGGTTTCCCAGCATTCCTGAGGATCCGAAATGCCTGAATGTAGCTCAAAAGTTTGGACCGGTACTCTGAACTGAATCGTCTGATTGCTCTGGTCCATCACTGACAAATCACGGCTTCCAAACATTCTATTCCATTGTGCGAACACTGAACGCTCAAGTTTCAATTTATAAGTCTTGTACTGCTTGGTGTGCGCGATATGGATTACCCATTAAAAATTGGTTGCTGGAGGTGTATCAGTGTTCGCACAATGGTATTGAATCTTCGAAAGCTATGATGTGTCCATAACGAACTAAAGCAACCGGACAACTGAGTTCGGAGTCCCAATCCAAACTTTTACGAACCATTTAGGCGTCCCGGGGTCTCCGCAAAGCTGGGAAATTTTTCCAAGAGACTTTTCCGCCACAGGTATGATTGCTTCTGGGGACAGTGAAATTTGGTTAGCTGCAAAAATATGAACGCATATTCACGGATTGGTATGCAGGATCGAGGCTTTTGCCCAAGTTTCCCGGGCTTGTTTAGTTCTTGTCGTTCAGCGGCTGTCATTCACCTGAAAGGCACAGGTGAAAAAAGAGCATAGCACTGTTCTTTATGCTCTCAGCGCGATGTAGTATGCTTGCCAGCGCGAAGATTCGCATAATAATAATAATAATAATAATAATAATAATAATAATGTTTTTTCCCAACTTGTGGGTGGCATACCGTCTGGCATGATCATAGTTTTACAGTCAGAATGGAGCATGACTGAGGGATTTGTGGGGGTNTCAACTTGTTGAGAAAAACGGGCATGAGGTTCGACTAGATCAAAGACAGTCAGGTGGCATGAACTCAAACTGAAAACCATTGCTGGCCACGAGTGACCTTGGGTGGTTAGGTAAATGGCCGGAGTCACAACGAGCAAAAGTGGAGATGGAGATGGGATAATTCAAATTGGGAGCATATAACAAGTTTTGTCTCAAAAATGTGGTTTAATCTGAAAGCAATCAGACTCACTGGTTGCACTGTTGTAGGGATGTCAGGTGCAGGGGAATAGGTTGGATGGGGGCAAGTTGCTAATACGTAGGGCGAACTGAACTCCGTACACGGATTTGAACCTGTGCAATAGGCGGGTCGAACTTGCAGCAGGAAACCCAGGCTAGCCAATTCTGAGCGAAATTTTATCGGGTACGGAATAGCTCATCCCAGATACGTGGCCCGAACGGAACTGCTCGAAGTTGTGGCTACGGGCTTGAGTGGGCGAGGGTTTGCGGTCGAGATTCTGGGGAAAATAGTTGCGGGAGTGCCATCTCACTGGGTATGAAAGTGCCGTGCTGTCATCGCACTGACATGCTTTGGTTTACGGACAACCCCGTAACGGTCGTCAAGCGTCGGAGAAGGGATACGCAGTTCCGTGGTGAGACGGAGATTGACACAGGGAGTCGTGCAGATGTAGTTTCACGGATAATTTTCCTTTTGTTAGAGGACCGTGTGAGTGTAGACCGGGCACCAGCCAGTTTGAGTGAATAACAATTCTAATTGGCGTTTGGGCAACTGCGGTCGAGGATTGAAGCTTGGGAAGAGGGGCGAAGAGAAAGAAATAGAATGACTGTCAGCAGTGACAGTGGACAAGTAAAAAGCGGACAGGCAACAGCTTCCCAGATAAGTGGTAAGAATCGTAGCTTAACTGAGATCTACCACATCAACCTAACAGGATTGTAAGATTAACGACCATCAGTCGCCGAGTCACTGTCATCGACCCCAGAAAACGAATG